GAATCCCGGACGTAACAAGTATTTGTATGACCTACAAATAATAGTTCTGGGTCTGTTCTATGTATGAAACTGTCCCTGCGATACAAAAGAAAATCCTAGTGTGGAAGTAACGTTTCTTTAAAAGAGAGGAAGAGAGACAACTAATGAAATTAAATTTTTTGTACAACTGACTTCAATAGGAATACGCATTATTACGGATAATTCCAAAAGTACTAGTCAGATCTTGATCAAATTTATATGTGATGTTTAAATTATAAACACCAGCTTTCACCTAGAAAAAAGTTCTGAGGTTACACACATTAAAAAAACAGTCGAATTGAGTACCTCCTCCTTTTTTAAAGTAGGTTAAAATGGTAAGTAGGTCAATTATCTAAGTTTCAAAGACGTTCACGTTGTTATAATATTAATTTTCCTCGATGTTGCATATTAACTTTCCTCACATTGATCAATAAAGTTTTTTAGCAATGAGTTGCAATGCTGGGGACGCGGGTTCGAATTCCGCACGGAACAAATATTTGTATTTATATATGTGTAGAGGTTTGTCCTCGTGCAATTTATGTTTGTTAACTGCCTCCACGATACAAGAGAAAATCCTAGTGTGTAGGTAACGTTTTTTTAACAAAATAAAAAATATATTTATACATTGCATAACACTTCGGTGTATTCTACTATATACCGCGTGCGCGCGTCTTCGCTTACCGAAGCCGACTAACGTCATGCATACTTGACGGCTCATACACACGTTCAAGTTTACATGACGCTGCAAGCTTGATCAAGTCGGCAGAATCGAAATTCAATTTTTGCTTCAAGTAGACTTGTCATGCACACCCATAGCCATACACCGTCAAGTTTACCGGACGCCGCTTCAAGCGTGCTGCAAACTTGACGGTAGACTTGATCGTGTATGGCTGCCATTATAGGTTTCACAGGAAATATTATATTGTACCTCTCTAAAATATTTTATTTATTTATGTTTGTCTAATCGACACCGGGTTTGCTTCACGGAACGTCCACAGAAGGCACTGCTACGATAGTATAAATACCGCACCACGACCGCCGTCTGCCTCTCTTCTTTTCTCGCTCCACCACAATACCAATAAATCGATTACGAACGTATTACCCGTTTTCTTCTCTGCTCCCTCAAGATATTATCCATCATTCATTCATTACTTACAGCCCATTAAAAGTCCACTACTGAACATAGGTCTTCCTGATTGATTGCCTTATAGGGAGAATTATTTGCCATAGGCCCCTCTCTTGGCAGGTGAATTGGCAATAGCATTTTTTTTTATTTGAATTGTTATCAGGAAGATACGGCTGCATATCTCCCGTTTCATTTGCTTATGTCGCCATCTACGATATGGGGTCTGAGACCTTCTAAGTATGAGGTAGTGGGATCTCTTATCTTCTCTTTTCCTTTAAGCAAATGATAAATCCGCATATAAAATTGGGGTTACAAATGGAATCAAACGCGCTTATGTACCTGTTACCGCCAAGACTTAGTATTCAAACCTAAGTTAACTATTACATTATTATAATTATTTAAAAACTAACTAAAAACAAGTTTGCGACACGAATCAATTGCTGTCCGTTAGTCACGCCAAAAGTCAAAAACGGCTTGATCGATTTTGATGATTTTTTTGTGTGTGTTTGAATGGCGTCGCTACTGTCGAGATCCCGAAATCAGCCGTGCGCAGCGGGAGGGATCGCTGGTATAATATAATCATCACCCCTTGATTTAGTAAACAATTCACTTGATCGCTCGAATAACAATAATTCTACTACCTAAGACATAATAAATAAATAAAAAATAAATAAAAATGAGTACCTATATCGGATGTCAATTGTTGCTAATATTAATAACGAAATCACTATAGATTGAAAGGACCACTTGTCATTTCATACCCTACGCATGAATTACATGCGACATATTTCAATTGGTTTGTCTCATTTTGCCTCATTTGAAAATTAAATTCGAAAAATCGAGACAAGTATATTGAGTTTAGTATATACTTATATTATTATGTAGAATTGTAGACTCCCTCTATGCATGCATGAGTAGTACTTAACCCTAGAAAGATAACGTGCGCCTCGGAGGCGCCCGCGAAATGGATATAACGCTGTCTTTTTCCATTCAACGCGTGTACAAGCTCGTTTTATCAAGACAACTCAAACTGCTGTTGTTCGGTAAGTACCATTTCGTTGCTATGACGACGCGTTGCGCTTGAGAGGCGCATGTTTATCCTCTGTGTAACTTTTATGCATTTCTATGTGATTTAGTTTTTGTTAATTTTTATTTATTTCTACATAAATAAAGTAGATATAAAATTAGGTAATTGATACTAATTAGTTTTAATTGTTTTAGGAACATCTTTTCATTATGACGAGCAGTAGTGTTGGAAGTAATTTATTATTAATTTATATTTATGAATTTCCTTTTTGAGTCAAGATGAAAGCCCAGATGATGGCAGTGATAGCGAAATGGAGGATCATGTAAGGGAAGACGATTTCCAAAGCGATACTGATGACGAGTACATAGATGATGTCATTGATGAAAGCTGGAACATCTCAACACCTCCTGATGACACCTAAACATCTAATGACACCTCAACACCTCCTGAAAATACTGTACATGATCACCGCATAGTTATTCCGCCTCATAGAGTAATTAGAGGTAAGAATAAATGCGTTTGGTCTACGTCTAAAGGTCAAAGTAGTGGAAGAACATGTGCAATCAATATAGTTTGTTCTAATAGAGTTCCTGGTCGTATGTATCGAAATATTTTTGAACCACTTTTATGCTTTGAATTATTTATCACGGACAAAATCATACAAGAACTTGTTCAGTGGACAAATGTGGAGATATCGAAAAAGCGTACTGATAGTATGACTAGTGCGACATTTGCAGACACAAATCCTACTGAGATCAAAGCCTTCATTGGAACACTTACTCTCAGTGCTGCAATGAAAGATAAGCATTTATCAACTGTTGAGTTGTTTGACAGATCATATACGGACTCGAGATATGTGGCAGTTATGAGCAAAGACCGATTTGTATTTTATGGTTAGGTATCTTAGAATGGACGACAAGATTCTGCGTTCTGCTCATCGCCAACAAGATCCGTATATACCAGTTCGAATGGTTTGGGATTTGTTTATAGCCCAATGCAAAATGAATTACTCTCCCGGAAGTAACATCACTGTTGATGAACAATTACTGGGGTTCCTCGGTAGATGGTCCTTTCGAATGTATATACCTAATAAACCAAATAAGTATGGTATAAAAATTCCAACGATGAGTGATAGTGGAACCAATTATATGATTAATGCTATTCCGTACATTGAAAAATCTACAAATGCAAATGGTTTAAAGAGCTATCACGGCCAATTCATGACACCAACCGCAATTCATGTGACCATTGGTTCACGACTATCCCTGTCTCAAAATCATTGCTTGCTGAACCATATAAATTGACGATTGTGGGCACGGTACGGTCAAACAAGAGAAATTCTTGAAGAACTGAAAAACACCCATTCTAGACCAGTGGATACGTCTATGTTCTGTTTCGATGGACCTTTGACCCTACTATCATACAAGCCGAAGCCGTCGAGGATTTTACTATCTGCTATAAATGTAAATGTACCCAAGAAGCGTACAAGACACACCCCTTTATTCGCTCCCAACGCTCGAAATTCTAACTATGGAAGAAACTCACTCTTGACTCGGATTTGCTCAATATACAATAAAAAAATTTCGAACTTAGATATATTTTACATGGTGTATATGTTGTCCTCCCTCATGCAATGAAGGCGCTGTTATAAATCCTACAACTGGTAAACCTGATATCATTATGTTCTACAACCAGACAAAAGGTGGTGTCGACACATTTGTCCAGATGTGGTCTTCGATGTCTTGTTCTAGAAAGAGCTACAGATGGCCAATGACAATGTTTTATGGCATATTAAATATAGCTTTTGTCAACTCATATATAATTTATACACACAATGTTTTGTCAAAACAAAGAAAACCATTCACCCGAAGAGAATATATGAAAAAAACTAAGTACTAAACTGTTTACACCGTGGATGAGATCTAGATTGGAAATCCCTACTTTATCAAGGCGTTTGAGAAAAAATATTGAGAATATCCTGCCACAAACTAATCAAGAGGATTCTCAAGAAGCTTAAGCGGAACCTTCGGCTAAAGTTCAGCGTTATTGTAGCTTTTGTACAACTAAAAGGAAAAGAAGGTGTAAGATGATATGTACAAAATGTAAAAAGACAGTGTATGGTGAACATAAAAAAGATGTTTGTAACAATTGTCTGTAGCTATGATTCTTTTCAGTATTTCTTGTAACTTTAGACTGAATATATAGTAATTCATTACTTGGTAAGAAAAAAAACTATAAATGTTACTGATTTAAAAAAATGTGTACTTAAATATAAATACTTCTAATTTTTGTTACTTTTTGTTAAGGGTTTATAAAACCCTACATAATTTTCTTAATAATAAAAATAATAATATACATTTGTATTTAATTAACTACTTATTAATCTAAAACCTCATTGAAATTACAATAAAAAGAATAATTATTTCGTTTATAAATAAATAGGTTGTTAATATTGTGCGCCTCTCAGGCGCATGTTTATCTTTTCAGTACTATAAAATTAGGTTATCTTTTTAGGGTTAAGTTTGTAATTACTCTAAAATTTGAAAGACTAGAGTGCCAAATACCCAATTGAGAAACAAAGTTTACGTATGTCATTGCCCCAGCACGTTCATATGTTTTCTATAGCAAACAGTAATAAAGCACAATTAGACGCCAAAATTTCTGTCACTGCATTTTCATATCCGTAATATGTTTAGAAATAAAAAGTCTACAAAACTCAAAGAGACCAAGTCAGTCATCAAGTATGCCCAGAAGCACACAATGTTATCACAAATTAATCTTAAAAACAGTCGCATGATGATAAGAATTATTCTAGACTCTAAACGTAAGTCAATATAGATAGTTGTTCCTAGGGAAGATAGCATGCGGTTCCTTATAATTAGGGTCCGGTTGGTTGCGGTAACGTCTAGCGAGCCAAACAGCGAATAACTGAAAAAAAAAATAGAATATCATGTAATTATTTTTACACTAAAGAGCAATATCTTTATACTTCTTTTAAACGTACTTTCCAAACTATTTTAAAAGGATTATCAGTAATTCACACAATTATTTCTTATGACGTGAAATATGTTATTAAAAGTTATAAATTCTTTGAAAATACCAAAAAACAATTACGCATTAGAACACAAAAACATTAACTACAAAAATTGACAATTATAATGAAAAAAATGTCTACGATTTTTCTTGCAGACAGACATGCTATAAATTAAATTCTTCATGCACGCATACAATATCTTATCTCGCGTGATCTTACTCACTTATTCATGTTAGATAGGTTAGACACGTAAAATAAGAGAGCATTGCGTTTGCGTGCTATAAAATATGCGGTGATATAAGATTTCGTCACATACTAAAGTAGGGAACGAATGAAAAAGCGCCATATAAATAAACTATGCTCTTATACGTTTTTTAACACTTTCACTGTCCGCTTTGCAGACACAATAGTAAGATAATAGCAATGACCTATATGTGGGTCAGGTGTATCACGGGATAGTAAACGTGTTAAATCAACCGCCGTACAACATTAAATGATAAAATTACCTATTTTTAAGAAACTGCTAGATATAAAGAACACGACTATAAAATTTTAGAAAATTTAAAATTCTAGGAAATTAATAATTTTAACGAAGGAATAGAATAAAATATTTTTATTCAATATAGATTATTACAGGTAATCAAAGTCAATTCTCAATTTAGGATTGGTTCAGAAAATACCTCTGTCTTGGAAAGAACCAGCAAAAAACACAACGGAATTTTATTTCTTAGACAAAATTGTACAACTTGTACAACTATTTAGATTAATTATAATGAAACCAACATGGAATCGATCACCTCACTCCCAGGGGTTATTTTCATTCATAGAATATATGAATTTAATATTACACCTAATATTTATTTTATATATCTATACATAAAAGTCAATTGCTGTTCGTTAGTCTCGCTAAAACTAGAAAACGGCTCGAACGATTTTAGTGATTATTTTGTGTGCGTTTGAGTCCCTGGATGATTAAGATTCATTATAGGACACACAATAGGGGTGATGTTGTCGAGATCCAGAAATCACCCGTGCGAAACCGGGGCGGATCGCTAGTTATATTATAATAAAATTTAATATTATGTCAACCCTTTTTTATACAGTTTTTGTTTAGTAAAATTTTTAAACATATTGATTGATAAACATTGAATTATTTTAGGATTTTGTTGTAAAAGGTTATACATTGCCTTTAAGATAGTCTGTAGCCTGATACGAGGGTGGATTGAAAAGTACTCGGCCTAACACAGATCCATTCAATTCTAAAAATCAAATCTACCCACATTATTTAGTTCAATTCAGACTAGTTCATTGTGTGAAGTTCGAAACGTGTGCGATAATTAGTTGTGATTTTATAAATTTATTAACAAAGTAATCGGACATAATTTCCGCGAATGGAGCAAATCGAGCAGCGTGCCGTCATTAAGTACCTCCATAAGAAGGGGCTATCATCAAAAGCCATCCATGATGACATGGTCAGTACATTACGCGATTGTGCTCTGTCATATTCATCCGTCAAAAAATGGATAGCAGAATTTAAGCGTGGTAGAGAGAGTGTGAAAGATGAACCCCGCTCTGGAAGGCCTTCGACGTCAACTACTGACGAAAATATTAAAAAAGTACTTGATTTAATAATGGAAGACCGCAGATTAAAAATTAGAGAGATAGCCGAGATTATAGGCATCTCTTATGAACGAACTCAAAACATCATTGTCAACGAGTTGGGTTTCCACAAGGTGTCTGCGAGATGGGTTCCGCGACTGCTTTCAGTTGAACAAAAAAGGACGCAATTGACTATTTCACGCGACTGTTTGGAGTTATTTGAAGCCGATGCAGATGATTTTTTGAATCGTTTTGTTACTATGGACGAAACATGGGTTCATTACTGTACACCGGAAACAAAACAACAATCAAAACAGTGGAGAAGACCTGGTTCACCACCCCCTAAAAAGGCTAAGTCGATTTTCTCGGCAAATAAGGTGATGGCTTCAGTATTCTGGGACTCGAAAGCTGTGATTATGATTGATTATCTTGAAAGGGGTTAGAATATAAACTCTGATTACTACTGCACCTTACTACGTCGTTTACGAGAGGAAATAAAAGAAAAACGTCGAGGAATGCTCAGAAGAAAAGTCCTGTTTCATCAAGATAACGCCCGTGTTCACACGTCAGTACAGTCAATGGCTGAAATTCACAACTGTGGCTTTGAACTGTTACCGCATCCGCCGTATTCACCTGATCTGGCACCATCAGACTTCTTTCTGTTCCCTAACCTAAAAAAGCACTTGGGAGGTCAAAGATTTTCGACAAACGACGAGATCAAAGCAGCTGTAGACGCATATTTTGACTCTAAGGAAGAATCATTTTTTTTCAACGGTCTAAATGCTTGGAAGGGGAGGTGGCAAAAGTGTATTGAACTTGATGGTGATTATGTAGAAAAATAAAAATATAACTGATTTAGTATTTGTTTATTTTCTTGGTTAGGCCGAGTACTTTTCAATCCACCCTCGTATTTAGATATTGGATATTGAACCGATATATAGATATTGTATCTATATACGATTTGTATCGCCCACATTTATTACGACTATAGTAAAATTTACGACACGATTTATGCTTGCGGTGTATGCGGTTATTCGCGGCTGCCGCTGTACTGGCGGTTATCTAGTGGATACCCGCGTCCTTCGCAGTTTACAGGCTGCGGTGCCCATAAACTGCGAAGACGCGGGATTGCAAACAACTCGCTTTGTGATCATCTCCCGCTAAGTCTGTAAGCGCTACTGCTTTCGCAGCAGGATTCCGCACATAACTGCGGTCTTGTGAGTCTTGAAATAAAATCGAATTCTTCTATCAGTGCAGGCGCGGGTAAGATAAAGCAACAAATTATGGAAAACATAGATCACAACAAATCATGGAAAACACAGATCACAACAACGGCTAGTACAACGTATACAATATCATTAAGTTAAAAAATAAAATTGAGATTAAATTAATTCGAAAGGGGATGGTTACGATAAAAGTAAGACAAATTTTAAACCCACTAAAAATATCTATCAAAATTATAATAGGGCGTTCGACAGAACGCTGATTCAATAATATTTAGACATTTGTTTCTCAAAAGTTTGACATTTGACCCATTGGCATCTATATAAAATATATTACTTAGTAGATGCCCAGCCGATTAATTCAAATGTGTGTGACGGCCGGGACTACAATTACCAATCCGCTTGCGTATTTAAGTGATTTAGGTAAATCCTGCTAACTATGGAGAAGTCGTATCTAGCTATACAGCAACACGGGCCACTGGCGGATCGGAGGGGAGTAGCCATACGCAGGCATTATCCTCTGTCAAAGTATAAGTCTACGCGGTATATATAACTATTTGTTGCAATATAACTATTTGCAGCCACACTGCTCTCTAGACAAACTAGTTGCGCGGCTGAATCGACGTCCTACAAAAATGCCGAATTGTTCAGTTTTTTTTTAATGCAAAAAGAGACCTGCCACGTCAAACCTTACGTTTCACATAAAATTAATTTTTAATTAAATTATTGCTATTTACTTATTTTTATACTTAAAAAATAAAATAACTGCCGTGTTGTTTCGGATTTGTTTACACCAACACATGCCGCTCGCGCTCATACAATATGCAGATCGGTCGAGCGACTGATCCGTGTCTGTATCCGAGTTGTCGCTGTCACCTAGCGATACTGTAATAATGTATCCATGTGTGTGTGTGTGTGTGTGTGTGTGTGTGTGTGTGTGTGTGTGTGTGAATTTGTAAGTTTATTGTTTTAATTGTTATGTGTGAGTTTCGTAGTGACAAGCGATTTGTGGTGTGCGTAGATTTCCCCCTGCAAAAAATTACAAACAGTTCTTTATCGGGAAAAAAATGCTATGGCTACTCCCCTCCGGGCCGCCGGTGTCTAGCAGAAAACTATGAATTTGAGAAGAAAGGAAATCAAATGTATGAAACACCTACACGGATTTACATGACGGTCGATAGCGATTTTTTTTTCAGTGAGCCTAATGAAAAATCGAATATTTATGGTTAAAGCTTAAATACTGATTTAAAGGAGCAAAGTAGCGTTATATGGGATGGGAATTAGCAGTTAAACGTTAAAAACTAATAAAGATAGGTTAATACTTATCTATAACAAACAGAATTACTTTATCAAGGCAATATGTTCAAGCAAGTTCACCAATCTTGCATGGGTACAGCGATATCGCTTACAAGTACTATATTTTATAGAATTTATGGGACAAATAATTTTATTTTTAAAATCATGTATATGGTTATTTTATTTTTTGTCATGTAGCTGTTAATTTAATATAAAATATGTAGCATTGTACAAGTCAGTAGCGTAATGGGAGAATTTACAATGAATAATTCACTTTAATAGCAATGCCAATATAATTGATGACATGTAACCTAGCGTCAATGCATGCATTCATCATGCGGCAATCTCAAACAATACAACAGGCAAAGCGTTAAAAAGCACACCAGTATGCAATCCACCTTATAATGCATATCTCCGTTTAGCCAATATTATTCACAGAAATGCACTTGGGTTAGCCCTCGGATCCTTTTGATTACGATATCTTACTGTCAACCACACACCCAGAAACTGGAAAACAATTGCGTCAAACCTTTAGTCACAATATTATGCAAAACCATGCTTATGCTTTTCATCGTTAAATTACATTATACCTAAATACTCAAATGTTGCTCAATTTTAAGGAGCCGTTAAGTCCGTGCTGTTTCTATCACTTTAAGTCAAAGTGACTGTGACACCACGAGACTTAACATCTTAAAATTGGGTAGCATTTGAGTATTTGGCCATCAGTTATATGTTTATTATTAAAACTAACATATAACTAATGGCTGGTTTATTATTAAAACATTGAAAGTGCCACAATTAGTTAGTAGAAAATAAAAAGAGATAAATATTGAAGAAGGTAGAACTCGAAACCTCCACCTGTTAAAGCAGTATAAAGTTCAAGTAAGTAGATTCAATACGGCTCGTAATGAAGTAGCGATTGAGCGGAGCCGAGGCTCCAGTGTTTGCGAGAGACCTTTCTGCTAAAAAGTAAACTTTGAAGAACGTATGTGGCAGCGTGTGGCAATATTTCCGGAACACCTGAGATTTTATTAATGAAATTAAAAGGTTCTACGGACAGCCACATAGTCTTTAGAGCCACACACAAGTGTGAGGCACAATCCAGCGACCTGGTAAGAGACATGCAGAAAATCGATGATGCAGGTGGCTCAGCACCGTGTTTTGGGGAGCTCTATGTCCAGCAGTAGACTTGTAATGGCATGTAAGGCTGTAGTGATAATAATAATGATGAATGATAAATGCAGAATCTCCCGCTTCTATACACCAGAAATTTTATAGCACTACCGCAAGTACGAAAACAAAGAGATAATATGTAGAATTTTATTTAGGTTATGGAATCGCGTTCACGTGTTTATTGTTAAATGGGTGCTATAGAACGAGATGACGAAAATAAACGAACTAATGACGATTTTATAAAGTCAAAATTTATAATTTTACTTCATAATTGTATTTTTAATTTTTCGAATCTACTTAGGACACCGACTTAGCTATTGTGAGCAACAGCTAAAATTATTATAAACTCTAAATTTAGAATAAAAAGTTATTTCCAATTTTCTCTTCTCATTTTTTTTTAATTTGCAGTGAGAGATTTGAGTTTATTGTCGTATGTAAAGTACAGTAAAATTATTATTAGCCAGTGAAAGAAAAATAATCCAACAAATTAATCTAGTGATTTTAATAATTATTAGATTTGAAAAACATTCCATTCAAGTTTGGATTAAAACTACAGCGGAGATTAAATGAATACACAACATACATAAATTGTAAGTCAAAGCGTTAAATAATTACGTTAAATAATATACAAATCCACATACCTCAGTAAAACTGAAGAATAATCCAATACCACCACAAAGTTTAAATGCATAATCAATAGTTTCCTTCAACTTCTCCATGCAGGGTTCACATTGACAGTTTTGTGAAATTTCCATATTCTTGCAGCAATTCCTCTGCGAAAAATTTAAAAGCAACAATATTAATATGATAACGAGAAACAACACGAAACGTGGTGTTGCTCTCCTGGTCACATGAGTAAGCTCAGTCGCTCGGCGAGTTATAGATAGGCTATGCTCAGAGTTTCTGCGTGATAGACTTCGTAATCTGATCTCCACAGTAAAACGTAGTAAAATAGCAAGGTGCCGTCCTTAAGCGCCCATTACACGCCTATGATGCCCTTTACACAGTAGGTTTTGCTGTCAGTTTTACAACAATCACGGTTGTGATTGACGAATAACCTACCGTGTAATGCGGTGATTGAACGTTGCATGAAATTGATTGACAAATATCTGGATATTTTGATTTTTACGTCTATCAACTATCAGTCACGACTTTTGATTGAACGTGTAATGGCATTTCGTCAATCACGCGTCGTTGCGCCTAGCTTTTCTTCGGGAGCATACATGTATCTTGTTTTTTTAGATATGGTGTTACCAAGACTAGTAACTTATCAAAACAAGCCTCTTTCATGCGAAAATAATTTGCATAGTCTTTATCCTCTATTGAAATAAAAAATGTCTACCATCAATCATGATTGATGTTTGAATGATAGAATAATTTCGACATAACGTGTGTATTATTTTTATTAGTATTTATTAGTATTTTGGGTTTGACTGACGATCAGTCAGAATGAGTATTCATTCTGACTGATCGTCAGTCAAACCCAAAATTTCAGAGGGAAAGGATGGATATTTATACAAAAAGGTATGTGCTGCAACTTTGTGTAAAAACGTATAAAAAGAAGGCGCTGCGTAAAAAGACTGGTTTTTAAAAAGGGATTTCTATACCCATGTTAATTTGACAGACATTTTTTATTTCAAAAGAGGATAAAGACTATGCAAATTATTTTCGCATGAAAGAGGTTTGTTTTGATAAGTTACTAGTCTTGGTAACACCATATCTAAAAAAAAACAAGATACATGTATGCGAAAAGCTAAGAAAAGCTAGGAGCAAGGACGCGTGATTGACGAAATGCCATTACACGTTCAATCAAAATTCGTGACTGATAGTTGATTAACGTATAAATCAAAATATACATATATTTAAAAGCTTTTTTAAAAAATTATTACTTCTCTCTTGTGCTCTTCATACTAGGTAAGACACATCATTTTATTTTATATAGCGGATGTTTGCGAAGTAATAATTTTTTTAAAAAGCTTTTATATAATAAATTTCCGCAAAGTAACGCCTGATTTTATTAATTATATCCAGACATTTGTCAATCAATTTCATGAAACCGTCAATCACCGCATTACACGGTAGGTTATTCGTCAATCACAACCGTGATTGGTGTAAAACTGAGAGCAAAACCTACTGTGTAATGGGCATCTTAAAGTTTATTCTCAAGTTATTAAAGTTTACATTTGTATAAATTGCAATAATTTGAAATTCTTCCTCCTCCGCGATCATACATTATCGGAGTTTATTTTTTGCCTTGCTGGAATTTGACGGTTCGTATAAGAATACTCCCTCAAACTTCACGCGAAATTATCATAAAGTCGTAATAAATTTTCTATACTTAATATTAAATCGCGTTATGATGAACCTATAAGTTGGGAACAATAATAAACAACTGCATAGACACCTCAAACTATAAAAAGTTACATTTTATTTGAATACCCGTCGCCCATCACAAGAAGATACAGTACTAATTATTGAATTTTCTACTGCTACAACCCAAATACTGAGTGGATTTATGACATTTATGATAAAAGTTGAAAAGTATGTAAGTAAAGTTAAAAAGTAAAGTGTGTACAGTAAAGGCAAAGTCTAATAGTATATATTGTGCAGATCATATTGTAAGGGAAGTATCAGTAGTAAGTTTTTGTTATTTATCATGCGATCAGTCGATGGACTATGAGCAGATTGGTTGTAGGACAGATTGGCGTACAGAGAAAACTTCCCCAGCGGGAAGCACTCCATAAGTCTCAGCTATACATTGTCAAGTACATGCCTTCTCTTTAAACGTCGCTTGTGGCATTGTAAACTGCCAACAAAACAAGACTTGGCAACCATCCAAATCACTTGATTTGGATGGTTGCCAAGTCTTGTTTTGTTCTTTTCTCTTCTTTTCTTCCTTAACTGAGTTCATTTTGAGGTGTTCATGGATTTCATATATTCTTATGAACCATGGTGCATTTGAAAGTTGTTTAAATATGTAGTTTTGGGTTTTTTTCAATGATTTCGATGTTGGAGTCACACGCTGATCTCCAAAGTTGTATGCCGTATGTCCGTATCGGTTTTATAATGGTGTTATATAGCAGGAGCTTATTGTCTAAGGAAAGTCTGGAATTCCTTGCGAGCATCCAATACAGTCCTCTGTATCTATGGTAGATCTCATCCCTTTTGGTTTGGATGTGCTTCTTCCAAGTGAGCCTTCTATCCAAGTACATGCCCAAGTACCTAACTTTGTCACTTTGCGGAAGCGAATTGTTATGCAATGAGACAAGCGGACAGTTTTCTCAACGCAAGGTAAACGTAACATGGACTGATTTTGTAGCACTAGCCTTTATTTTCCACCTTGATAACCATCAGTAGTAAGTTATTAATAGTATGTTGCAACTTTATAACTAGGAATACAGAGTTAATGTTTTTCATAATGGATATTCTTACACTGCCACTACACCGTTAATACATAATATCTGTTTACATTAAATAAAATTCATAAACTCCCACCCAAAACTTTGGGCTGTTAGTTTAACTAGTTACAATTACAAACTTCTATCATTATATGCACATCAGTTTAAACATAATACCTTACAGCAATCTTTTGTTTACATAAGTTAAAAACAAAAAAGAGAACAAAAATATGCAGTAATTCTTTACAATATATAAGTACATAAAAAAATTACCAGTTTTGTTTAAAAATGATAAGATAATATCTCACTTACATCAACAAGGTCACACGATGGGTAGTCTGCGGAACCATTTACAGGAATAAGTCTATTCTGAAAACCACAGCACTGAAATCTCTGCTGAACTTGCTCTTTTACATCCATGTTTACTTTATTCCACCCCTATAAAACAATTACACAATTAACACACTTACATATAATAAATATTATCTTTTTATATTTAATAGCTGGTACTTTGTAAATTACAGTTATATTCAAACAAATGTAATTGTTTTCTAGACACGGTAGTGCATAGGCATGCTAGGATCCGACAGGTGACACTGTAGTCAAGTTATATTAATAAATTCTATATTTATGGATCAAAATGACCCAGAAAATTTAGAAATGATAGGTTGTGGTCAAATTAATAATAAATTTTGATGTTGATACTGTAAAAAGTCCGGAAGAAACTTTTCACGCCACCTACTCCCCATTTTACAGTAGCAATTTTAACGTGCTTTTGTATATTAATATTTATTACATATTATCTGTTAAAGAACTGATAAATCTGTAGTACTTACCAAGTTATCATTATGTGTGTTAAAAGAGGGAAGGCAAATATTCATATCTTAATTTTTATACAAACATTTACTCACCTGTTGAGCTAACATCTCCTGTTGATCAGAATTTACAGCGAGGCAAGCGCAGGCAACCGAAAATTGTACAAAAAATAAAAGAAACAGTATCACCATGTACTGAATAAAATGAGTTAAGGAGTTACTGACAAATGACTCACAACAGAAAACATCTAGAAACAACACAAAACAAAAAAAGTGAATGATTCTCATTTGAATGTTTTCCTATTTTTAGTTAATGGAATAAGGGTGACAAACGAGCACACAGTCCACCTGATGGTAAGTGGATGCTGTGGCTCAAAGACATTTATCTTCGATTAAGATTCCAATTGTAGATGCGTTGTCATCCCTGAGGACTAAGATGGAATGCCACTTTTCAGTAAAAATCCTTTCAATATGGTCGTTTGTCACCCTTACGGTGACCAGCAATTAGTTGCGTGGCTGAAGGGCAGGCGAGCATTTCGTAGTGGTTTGTTGTTACTTTTACAACATATAGCTGCGTACGTCAGGTGGTGATTGGTAGCATGTTTTATTGCATGACATAGTCACTCACTACTTAAGTGGGGAGCGATTGCGTCAACAAGTTGTATAAGTAACAGCTGTTTTAGCTCACCGCCTCACTTAGCAGTCAGTCGTCATTCAGCAGCAGCGGGGATGGGCCTTTTCAGCCCTGTCTGCCTACTGGATCGAGCTCCAGATGTCGCGCTGTGAGCCTACTTCACGTCCCTATATTCCCACGGTAATCCTAACGCCTGAAATTTCTTTTGTTTTAAAGTAGGGCGTTCCTAAAGGTGCGGGCTCGATGGAGGGTGGGAAGCCGGGGGGACAAATCTACAAACTAAATTAATAATGGACGACTTAAGGCCCAAAAGAAAAGAAGAAGAGGTGTCAGAGGTGACTACCAGAGGCACCAACACTCAAGGAGAAACTGCCAGTAAAATGGCGACCCCTCAGAGCACGTCATCCAGCGTAGGTGGCCCTTTCAAGGGAACTTCCGCGCTGGATGCTCCTAAAACCAGTTCCTCGGAGCTGGAAATGGATAGGAAACAAGGGACCGCGAGTAGAAATACTCCTAAGGAACCCCTTAGAACGGAAGATCTCTTCACAGCTGCCTGGCAATTGGTGAGCCGTAAAGGGAAAGGCAAGACACCCAAAAAGGTAACTAACCGATCCGACGGACCATCAAGTGGATCTATCCAGCCAGGGAGCGGAAGTAGGATAAAGAAAAAGAACACGAAGCAGACAGAGACAGCCCGTAAAGAAAGGGCAGAGCTGGCTGCTCCCAAAACCAATACTAAGGAGGCTGGGCACGCTGCTGCTCCTGGGGTGCTTGGACCTGGACCCAGTAGTCTTACTGAAACTGGAAAGGATAAAAATCCTGCCCAGGTGGAAGTTACGGCTGCTGGAACCATTTTCAAGAAATCCGCCAGGAAGCAGAGAGCGGCCAAGCGTCCTGGTAAGAAAGAAAGAGCAGCCAAAAGAAGACTGGACCAGACCACCTCCCCGAGAGGCGAGCATAAACAAGTGAGACTCTAACAATAATCCAAGGCTGCAAAGACCAGCTATGCTTCTGCAGTCAAAGCTGAATTGTGTGTGTAAAGGACACATCACAAAAGAAATAGCTGACGACATCCTCGTATCTATCCAGAGGAAAATGATCAGTGAGGCTTGGAGTAGCCAAGACCTTGAGGCGTCGGACCCAGTCTTTAGAGGCATACCCGTTTACACGGAGGGTGTCCTAAGGCTGTGGTGCGACGACCAAAAGGCTTTAGACTGGTTGAAGGGGAACATCGCTACCCTCGACCTCAAATCCAGCACCTCGCTGGTCATAAAGAAGCAGTCGGAGATACCACAAAGGGTCAAATGTGGCATCCTCATCCCAGACGCCCCTGGTAAGACTCACGCGACATTGGTCGTGAGCTGGCATACCAGAACCGCTGGGTAAATATAAAAGATTGGCTGATGCTCAAGGCCGACAAACAGACGGAAGGATGGTTCCTCGTTGTTTTGGTGCCGGAGGATTATATCACGACCCTGTTGAAAGCCGGACGCCGCCTCGCATGTGTATATGGGGCGGTCTACGTAAAATTCCATGGTCGTGGAGGTAAATTTTATGATACTCCACCGAGCAAAGAGGCGGTTAACCACCCAAAAGCCGCAGACACCGGTGCCATGAACACCAAGGCAGCAGGAACATCATTGGACCCCAAGACCAGTGACAATACGGACCGCACAACCGAATCGAAGCCACCAGCGGAGATCGGGCTCAGCGGCGGTTCAATGAGTGACGAGGAGGGCTGCACTTTGCCGTCCAACTCCGACTCGGTGGCTGACGATGAGACCCGAGATCTGCTGGCAGGCTTATTTTTGGGCGAGGACGGGGAGGACGAGGTAAATGATGGCGTGCCCTTCGTCCAATACTAGCCTTGTGCAGGCCAACCTCTACCACAGCGAAACTGCGTCGGCTCAACTACGCAAGTGGTTGGAGGCTCAACAGTCGGCCATAGCCATAATCCAAGAGCCGTGGATTGGGGCCGGTAAAATCAAGGGCCTAAACAACCTTAAAAGTAAGTTATACTACAAATCTGAGCACGACAAGCCTAGAGCGTGTATTTATACTACTAAAGATATCTCTGCTCACGTTGATGCTGTGCGTAAGCTGATTGAGGAAGATCAACATGTGACATACCGCGAAATTCAGGCAACTTTAGACATTGGCATGAGTCAAATACAAATAATCTTGCATGAACAATTAGGTGTAAAAAAGTTGTTTTCCCGATGAATACCGCATTCGCTCTGTGAAGAGCAAAAAGCGGCTCGCGTTACTTGGTGCGTCAGAACTCTCGAAAGATTCCACGCAGGATCCTCAAATGCTGTATATAACATCGTATCAGGTGACGAATCCTGGATATATGCGTACGAAACCGAAACAAAAAACCAGTCACGAGTTTGGGTGTTCGAAAATGAGTTAAATCCAACAAAAATTGTTCGTTCACGGAGTGTTGCAAAAAAAATGGTGGCCACGTTTGTCTCCAAAACCGGCCATGTTACGACTATTCCTCTTGAGGGACAAAGAACGGTTAATGCAGAATGATATGCTAGCATTTGTTTGCCACAGGTCGTTTCTGAACTCCGTAAAGAGAACTGCAACCGCCGCATCATCCTCCATCACGACAATGCGAGTTCTCACACCGTACACAGAACAAAAGAGTTTTTAGAGCAAGAAAACATAGAATTATTAGACCATCCGCCGTACAGCCTCGACCTAAGCCCTAATGATTTCTATATTTTCCCTAAAATAAAGAATAAATTACGCCTACAAAACGGCCATTTTGGAGACCCCAACTTCCGAATGGAATGGTTGCTTCAATGATTGGTTCCATCGTATGGAAAAATGTGTCAAATTTCGCGGAGAATACTTCGAAAAGCAATAAATACATTTATAAATAGTAATGTTGTGTCACTTCCTTGATTCCCGAAATTTTCAGTGCGGCCCTCGTACTACAGGTCGATATCCCCGATATACAATCATGGGGAAACCCCCGCAAGACGGATAAAAGAAAATACCTTAATAGGCTGACGACATCTTCGCTCGCGGGTTTTGAGGGAACAAATACAAATCTGTATTACAGCTCTTCCTCGATTTAAAGTCAGAAGGATTAAAGTTTTTGTACACTAGACGTTTAAATCAGGACTGTATTGAAATTTTTTTTTTTTGGGAATGTGCGGCAGTCAGTTGGAAACTGTCAAGAGCCCACTTTTCGACAAACCAGTAATTCTTTTAATAAAATGTTTGTAAGAAACGTTTAAAAAAAGCACAGGGTACTAATTGTGAAGAAGATTATGATAGTTTACTCATGAAAGTCGAAGACTGCGGCACACTTTATAAAGCTTCTTTTCGATTGGAAGAAAACGATAAATGTTCCTACCCTTACTGTGTAGACTAACGATTATAAATTCGATTTACCAGAATGAAATGCTCTTGTTTATGTTACCGGGTATTTGTATAGGAAATGCCTGGATCTACACAACTGCGTAATATCGAAATAATACGTCAATAGATGGAAAAATGCCATAAATATGAGCAGAGAATCAATATACACACATTATAAAGATTTTAACGTCGGTAATGTACAGAATGCGTTCCTTATAATACCACCAGATGACTGTTGAGTTTATTGATTTATTAGAAGGAAAATACCAAGAATATTTTAAACAAGAGCCAAAAATACAAAATATAGGAAATGAAATATCATGCCATTGTTTCCCAGTCGAATATTTAAAGAATCTCTATATTAGATTCAGACCACACGATTAAGAGATATAATTAAAATCTTAAAAAAACAACACCAAAAAATTGTTTAGGGTCAGTCATTTGTAATGGGATACGTATTGTTTGCTATGGGATAGTTTGTTTGCTGATGATACATAGCTGTTGTTTAAAATTAATCGATACGAAACAGCTCGTGATTTCGAACAATTAATAGTAATAGATCTGTCGCTCCTAGAAGAACAGGTAGCAGCTGTTACTAAGGCCATGGTAAATAGCTACCATGAATCATGTCCACAAATCACTCAACCAAGACATGCTGAGGTAAAGCAAAAGTGGTGAGGTAAAGAACTAGATAGAAAACGTAAGGTAAGAAAAGCCCTAATTAGGGCCATGAATGCCTCAATGGATGAACACTGATGCTACTATACAAGAAAGCCAAGTCCGAATACAAAAAATGTATCAGGTATCGAAGCTCGATAGGGTGGCGTAAATTCTGTGGTAACATAGAAACCTGTGAACAAGCGAATCGGATAAGGAAAATCCTAGCTAAACAAAACACGCCGGGATCCATCTGTTTAAAGAAACCCGACGGAAGCTACTCTACATCGCCGGACGAAACCCAACGAATCCTAATTGAAACGCACTTCCCAGGTTGCTGCGTAACTCAGGGGGTAAACCGGCATGAAGATGCACTGAAACCAACATCAGAAGACTGGAATTTAGCACAGCGAGTGGTAATGATGGACAAAATCCATTGGGCCATTCACAGTTTCCTCCCCTACAAGGCGGCAGGACCTGACGGCGTATTCTCGGCACTTCTACAATGGGGGGTTAAAGCCCTAATAGTCAGACTTGTTGCCATAATGAGAGCTTGTTTGGCTCTAAAATATGTTCCTAGGGGATGGAGGGAAGTGAAAGTCACATTCATACCCAAACCAGGTAAGAGTGACTATACAGACCCTAAATTCTTTAGACCCATTAGTCTCACATCCTTTCTCCTAAAGACAATGGAGAGGATGTGTGAAAGGGAATTAAGGGGGTAGGCGCTAATGAACTTACCGCTACAAGACAAACAACACGCCTACAGCTTAGGTAAATCGATAGAATCGGCACTTCACGAGGTAATAACAAAGATTGAAGAGGCCATCCAAAATAAAGTAATATGTCTAGGTTCCTTCATAGATATAGAAGGAGCTTTTGACAGAACGAACTTCTCCAGCATAAAAAGTGGACTCAGTAGACATAAAGTTGAAACAGCACTGATTGACTGGATAGTAAACATGCTCAGTACACGAACAATAAAGATTGCTGGTGAATCTAAAACAATCCAGATTAAGAACGGCTGCCTACATGGTGGGGTTCTTTCACCTCTCCTGTGGAATATGGTGATAAATGAACTCATCAGCAAATTAAATGCCAATCAAAAACAGCAAGCATGGTGTGCGACCTGACCCAAGAGGCTCTCCGTATAGTTGAGAGATGGTGCAGGGAATACGACTTAACCGAAAAAAATTTGCAATATTTATGCCAATCACCATTGCCGTCCGTCAAGTTGGCGGTTGACATTTTTATTACAAAAAGGTTACATTATTAAGCACACACGCAGTTTCAACATTCGGGGACACATACTTTTTGTGCAAAACAATATTGAAAATCAACTATTTTTGCAATATTTATGTCAATTCCTACCCTAAAACTGACGCCATTTTTTATACTTATTGTCAGTAGAGATGTCGATTCTTTCCGAAAAAGATCGATTTTTTAAATAGATTCGAGTTGTAAGCTGATGTATCGATTCCCAAAAAATCGATTTCTAAAATATCTATATTTTTTCATGTTTGCATTTATAATGTAAATATAAATACATTTTATGAGAAAAAAATCTCCTTCATTATAAAAAAATAAGGGGACTGATTCAGAAGGATTTCTGTATACATTTTGAGACTGCTACGTCTCCGGCGCTGCGGGAAGAGCAGCCTCTACGCCTTAGCGTAACAAATCGCAGGCATCCCTCCTACAGCAGGCGGAGGCTGCTCCCCCTACGCGCCTCCGGCTCTATAAAACCACTCTAGGGGTAGGACAGACTTGTAAAAGGTGGAGTTGGGGTCAATCAATTCGGTTCTTTGACATAAGTTGAACCTAACCTAATTTATTTGTTATCTGCCCCAATAGCTACTGTTAAAATAGAACAAATTACAATAAGAGATCATTTATCAAGGTATCTTTCTTGTTTTTCATAAAATGGATTTATATTTACATTATAAATGCAAACATGAAAAAAATGTAGATATTTTAGAAATCGATTTTTTGTGAATCGATACATCAGCTTATGATTTGAATCGATTTAAAAATCGACCTTTTTCGGAAAGAATCGACATCCCTACTGACGACGACAATGACATTACAAAATGGCGCCAATTTTACGGTAGGATTAGACATAAACATTGCAAGAATAATTGTTTTTCAATAATTGTTTTTCTCAAAAATTACGCGTTTCTGCATGTTGAAACTTTGTGTGTGTGCTTATAATAGTGTAACTTTTCTGTAAAAATACATATCAACACCCAACTCGACGGACGTCAATGGAAAGCTAAGCCACAAGTGCTATCACAGGACACGAACATTTATTTACCATAGGTGTTATGGACAGTCCCCAGACCAGTTACGGACAGTGCAGGGCATGTATGGGGAAGGAAGAAACAGCGGCCCACGTGTTGCTGAAGTGTCTGGAAGTCACTGTATACAGGGCTAAACAACTCGGCGCGCCGGGATCACTCTCCGAAGTTGTATGCAACACGCAAAATATGCACTTAAACGTGGAGTTGCAGAAAACAGCCCATTTGTTCAATTCAATCATCCTTATTCTATTAAATAAATATGTATATTGATGAAATTTGATAAACTAATTAAGATATTATTCATAATAGCTAGTTGGAAGTTGTTTTATTATATGATGTTACTCACATGAAAATGTTAATTTATGATAAATAATTTTATTTTAAACCACATATTGTACACATGTTATTTAATGTGTAACACCATCCCTATGAAACGTTTATTTGATAAAATTAAAATTTATTTAATAAAAACAATCTATTAACAAGTGGGAAGTAATCCCAACAGTTTTATTACACACAATGGAATTATTCTTACATTTCACAACACAGGATGGCATTTTTCTGAGTAGTTGGCAAAATAACTACACTGTGAAAATACTCCTACTTCAGAAGACAAGACCTGACGTAGAAGTAATACTGACCAAGTCTTAGTTTTAATGCCCTGCCTACAGTTTTTTCTTTGGCCAATTTTGAGCGTCAACAAACTTCTGTGTTATCCATCCGTGTGCCAATAAAAACATAATCTCTCACACAGAGAAAGTATGTATTTCAATTTTTTACTAACACACACAAGATAAGATACATAAATAAATTCAAAAGGATACAAAGAATAGCATAACTTGATGATGTTTGACTGCCCCAGCTAAACCCAATAATGATATTAAAATTAGAAACACTCCACACGCAAGGATTCCACCTACTATGGGCAAATTAGTGACCAGGGAAGAAGTTTCTCCATACACGGCTACGGATATAAGAATAGAAGCTACCACCTAAAATTTTACCAATAATTTTAAATAACATCATATGCATATAAAATATTGTTGGAGCTTAAAAAAGTAGACCTTACCACATAAAGAATATTTAATGCAATCAAAGCATTTTTAGAGCACGTAAATCCACCACACATTTTGTTCTTTTGTGTTTTGTGTACAATTATAATCCAGAGACTAAAGCAAAATTAGCAAAAACCAAAAATAAAGCCACTTTATTTCTTATTATAATATCCGGTGTAACATCTGTAAGCAAAATCTTTTTTTTTAAATTGCCTTTACGGCTCAGGGTTCTAGCCCTTCTGAGCCTGAATAATTGTCTTTTAAGCCATGTCTTCATTTATCTTAGTATCAAGTGATAATTATTCTTTATAGTAGGTACACTGCTTCACAATATGCTGTACACAATACATCACATTGCGTAGTTTATAGGAGATTTTGTCGGTCGAAGCAGAGATACATCTTATCTTGAGAATCACATTACCATCAGAGCACTGTACATACACCTTCATAATTTGTGCATCGGAGCACCGTTTCCACTAATAGCTCACATGCGCAGACATTTATACACAAAATCGTATACATATCAAAATCCAATTCAAACCATTATTTAAACAATAATACAGGAGCAGCAATCCGTCGCCAGTCAAGTTTTCGCCAAACCTCCCTAAATTAAACCTAAATTGACAAAATACAAATACAACCACAGACTAATTAGTAAATATACAACAACAGAAACGAGCCAATATTATTTTTTATTAAGATTTTTGATCCTTTAAGCCATGTCCTTAATTGTATCAGTATCTAGTGATAATAATCCTTTCCTTTAATTTCCGATTAAATGTTTTTGCGAGAAACTTTACCTACGCTCCTAGAAAACATACCTCTTTAGTCTACCAACACGATGGTGTCCCTGCTCATTTTAAAAGGAGTGTTCAACAGCTCCTTGATGTTGAGTTTGTAAAGCACTGGATCGGTCGCGGCGGCCCTGTCCAGTGACCTCCCAGATCAGCTGATTTGACGCCTCTTGTCTTTTTTGTGGCGACGTATTTAATCATTAGTTTATTTTGGTGAGAGAACAAGTGCCAAGAACCTAAAAATAGGATAGTAAACGCTTTTGGAATGACAAATGACATAAATGTCACTAAATTAAAATACCAGTTAAGAAAACGGTCATTAAAATGTATTGAACAAGGTGGTGGACATTTTGAAAGTGTATTAAAACCACAACGTTGCATGAGTGTTAAGGCTATCAGTAATTTAAGTATTTGATTTTTTTTAAATTATTGTAAATATTTTGATTCACATCTTTTAAACACACCGTCTTTGAATTATGGTGTCATATTACCTCTTCTTTTTAGCAGTTCACTATTATTTACAATTACAATTAAAATGTTATGCAACATTTTGTAACGAATATTGCCTGTTGTCATTGTATCATAATCAATAAACAAAATTATTCAGAGTCGACAGTCAAAAGCCTGAAAAGTGTGATGGAAAGATGCAATCAAATGTTTACTAGACTTAATAAACAACTCGATGCTTGGAGTATGAACATCGGTTAATGTTCATAGGTAGTTATTTCTTAAACATAAAAAAATCGTGTATTGTTTTCTTCTTTCGGCTTTTTTCGGCACTAATACCTACAATAATTGTAACAAGCGGCGGCGGCGTTAACTCTTCTCGAACGCGAGCTAATACCTACTAGGCTAGCAAAACCCTAAAGACCTACCTATGTGTGCGACTGCGTGCATTCGTGGATAATATGTACTGTGACCACAATATTTTTCCGGAATTAGTATAACTAATTTAATAAATAATGTTTAATTAAAAAGTTAGTGCATGTATTATGATTATAACATAATGTGCGTTAATTACGGTATATATTGTATATTTTGATGTCTTTTCCGATATAATGCATCAATGTTAATACGATGTATTGAGAAATACATCGATGTTTCCAAAACATCGATTGTTTTTCGCAAAGGAAATGTTTAGAATACATCTCTTATACCGACTTCAAAAAGGAAGAGGTACTAAATTGTATGTTTTTTTATCTGTGTTACCTCATAACTTTTTTCTGGGTGAACGGATTTCGATTATTGTTTCTTATTTGAAAGCTGGTGCTTCTCATGTGGTTGATCAAGGTCTGACCAATAGTCGGTAGGTAGAAAGGTGATGCGGGATCCGCTGGATGGAGATTTGTTGAAAATTGTTTATTAGCTTTCTAATCAAAGAGTACAAGAGAATACGATGAGGAAATGGGTGCAGAATAATTATAATTTAAAATAAAAAATGTTGTACAACCGACTTAAAATTCTTAAATTATTAAGAATAACTCAAAACCTATTGCTGTTGTACGCTTAAAAAACGTTACCTCCTAGGATTTTCTCTTGTATTGTGGAGGCAGTTTACAAACGTAAATTGCACGAGGACAAATATCCAGACCCAGAACAGTTATTTGTAGGCCATACAAATACTTGTTCCATGCGGGATTCAAACCCGCCGCCCCAAGCGCAATAATTCATTGCTAAGCCACTGCGTCACGGAGCCTTCAAATTATATTAGTCAGACCTTGATCAAATTGATATGGGACTACATGAGAAAGACCAGCTTTCAAATAAAAAAAAATCATCGAATTCGGTTCAAAAGGATAAAAGTTATGCTGGTTATAACACTCGGTTGGAACGAAGTTCTTTTCGTAGTATTTCATTATTAATAAATGTTTTATAATGTTATTGATTAACAAATACGTATAAATGAATTACTAGCATCTTTTAAAATGAAGCGTCATCTATATAAATAAATAAAATTGAAGTGTCTGTTTGTGATGCTAAAATAACAGCTTTTTACTAAATGCGTATGAATGTATATACGGTACTTATAACGAAAACGCAATTTTTAAAATTTTTGTCTGTCTGTCTATTTGTTCCGGCTAATCTCCGAAAATACTGGACCGATTTCGACGGGACTTTCACTTGCAGATAGCTGATGTTCTAAGGAGTAATTTAGGCTACTTATATTTGAGAAAAAGAATTAGGGTTCTGAGCAATATAATTAAAACCCTAAATTACACGCGGGTGAAGTCGTGGGCAACAACTAGTTTATAATAAAATAATATTTCTTTCATGACAAGATAAGAAAAAGCGTGAGGGGGTCTACACTACGTCAGAAGGGGCCATGACGGAAATATCCTACACTTTTTCTCGCCTAGTCCTTTTTTTCTTTTGGAACGAAGTTCCTTATTGGACGGTACGGATTCACCATCCGCCAAATACGTACCGTCCGATAAGAAACTTCGTTTCAAAAGAAAAAACTGACATACAGTCGAATTGAGTAGCATCTCTTTTTTAAAGTCGGTAGAAAAGAGTGGTTTACAACTATTTTACAAAATATTTCTGCGCATGTCACAAGACTACCACCATACCACTGCCATTATAATGCTATTGAATTCATTTTGGCTCAAATCAAACGCTAGTTCTTACATGAAATGCTCTTAATGCAAACATATTATTAACTATACATAAACACACACGAGATGGAAATATCTTATGCTTTGTAAAGAAAATGGAAGGTTAGCTGAATGAAGCATATACCCATGTCACATAGAACAAATGGGCAAAGTGGTGAAGAAAACAAAGAAAATTATTATGGATGACTTTGAAAGAACATTAATTTTGATACATTATTGAAAATCCAATAATAATTAATCTAAATAACGACAGCCCAACTAGTTGTAGTGAAAGTGACTGAATATATTTAATTTTAATCTAATTTCAAATTTTAAATTTATACAATTTTGCCTCTAGATATAAGCAGTAATAATAAGAAACTGATAAATCTAGTGTTTTAAATTATCCGTTTCTAATTTATTCTTGTATTAATCGAAACAAAACTGTGAATGATTACCAACTCTATAGAATTGATATCGATTTTTCTAAAGAATCGAGAATTTTACGTACCGATTTTTTGGTTGGCATATCTAGTCCAATAAGTCTGACACCTGTCAAAACGTACGTATTTCCATAGATATAAGAAAAATAAAGGATAAGCAGTACCTAATTTGCATACTATATGTTTTTTGGTTATACAAATGTCACGCAAACATGAACCTTGCCAACAAATATATATCTGTCTCATTCTTACACGTCATGATTTTCACATGTAAACAAAGATAAGTACATATCTTCATAGAGATATATACTTCTAAGTCAGTGCATATCTTAGACTTCAATTTTCTGTAGACAGTTTTCATAATGTCACCAAGCTCTACCTTGAAGCATGACGCCATTTTAGGATGACGTTCATTTGTGGTAGTTCGTGTGTCATGAATTTTGACTATTTTAGAGCTTTTTTGTTCATTAGTAAAGGGTAATTGAGCAAAAACAACATGACAAAGTGTTGCATCAATGGATGTAATTCAAATTCTCGTTAAAATGAAGAAGGATTGTCATTTTTCAGGTTAGTTGCATTGAGTTATATGTACTACGTAGTACATATAACTCAATGGTTAGTTTTAATGTTTTTCTATAATCATGTTTTCGTGTTAATTGCGTTTCGTGTTCATGTTATTGGTTCTAAATCGTGTTTTCCGCTATTATCTAGAATTTCCAATGACTTATCATTTAAATTTTAAAAAGGCATGGAAGTATACACAAACTGGAACCCACGCTCCTAATATCAACATTAGGAATAATCAAATGACCTTAAGTAACACCTGTTTTCCCTACAGGATAGTCAACGTGACGACTGATATTACCCCATTGACAGCGTAGATAGAGCATTGACTAGATAAAGCATTCGCGTATGCTTTTGAGATAGAAATAGGCGGGAGGTACTTTCACTGGGTTACCAGATATTGTTCCGTTTCCCTCGTTATGGGTTTATTTATATTCACAGCACTTACATTCATACAAAAAACTTAATTGTTACCATAAAAAAAATGTTCTTTTATAATTCAGATGATTAATTAATTTCTCTTGAAAATACATTCTGTGACTAAAAACTACGGGCGGAAACGGTGTAAAAACAGAATCATCATTCTGTATTCAACGGCGCATCGACGATTTTACTGGACATTCAATAACTCTTTGGATTTCGACGGCTCTAAGTGAAGGCGCTAATAGTACAAAGTGTG